ATGAAAACAGCCACGCCGCCTTCTCCCTGTTTCACTCTGCTTTCAGAAGTTACAACGAATCAGTTCTTATCCAAAACCCCAAGGGTATAAAGATAAGTCGGATGATACCTCCTGTCCTAACGGCAGGATTCATAAAAATAGTCAAAAGGTGGAGGCAAACTAGCATCCACGGGCAGGCGGACGGACAAACAGAACGTGTACCCACGCAGGGGAGCCTCCCACGGCCGCGGACAGGAGCAGGGCGCCCACACGCGCGGCCCCAGGGACGGACCCCGAGCCCACAACGCTCAGGGAGGGAGCCAGACACAGAAGGCCACACGGGGTGTGCGTCCACGTGGGTGACACGTCCGGAACGGGCTCATCTGTGGACGGGAAGGGGGTTCGTGGGGGCCGGGGAAGAGGGAGGAAGACTGCTGATGAAGACGGGGTTCAGAGTGATGGAATGTTCCGGAATCACACGCCAGAAAATGCAGATGCACTTGATGCCACTGAAACACTCACTTTAAGATGGTGAATTCTGTGTAACGTGACTTTCACTCCGATAAATATTTCTTCTCACGGTTCAGGGTAAAGTAGGCAAATTTAAACACTTGGGGTCCCGGGGCCGCCCGGCCTGCTGGTGGACGCTGTCGCCCACTGGCTCCTCCTCTCGTCCCCAGTCCCTTCGCAGACCTGCTCTGAGCACGTCTGGTCCTGGTCCTGGGCGTTTGGAACCTGCTTGTGGCTGTAGAGGACACGTTTCTGGTTTCCTGTGAGTCGCGTCGGGAAGCCTCCCCGTCCTTGGGCGTCTCTCTGCCTCCTCTTCCTCGGTGGCTTAGAGCTCACCAGCCCCTTCCTTGATTTTTCCTAATTTGGGTTCCTCTCTCTGCCTTGTAAGGACAGCGGCCTCCTCAGGTGGTGCCCTGCGGACTTTGGAGCTGCCTGGGTGGTAGGAGGGGGCCTGAGCAGACACCGTTAAAGGGGCAAAGGTCGGCCCGGGGGCCCTGCCGGCCGGCGGTTGCTTTATAGCCTGGGCCCCTCGGCCTTGGGCTGGATGCCGCCCCCGGGCCCCTGGGACAGGCTGGGAACTGGTGCACTGTTGCCCAGGTGGGGCCTCCCGGCACTGTGACCTCTCGGGGCCCGGGTGGTGCCCTCCCCACATGAACACATCCCCAGGCCAGGCCCCTCTCCTTGCGGGTTAGGGGTGGCCGTGAGGGGCCTTCTCCCCCCATCTTCCATGTTGGCAGGCCGGGGAGGGGGTCCGGTGCCATGGGTGAGCCGCCTGGCTCCCAAGGGGTCTGCTGTCTTCTCTGCAGGGCGGCTGAAGGATCCCCCCACCCCCCAGACACACACACAACTCGGCCGGCTCAGCAACATGACCCCACTGACCAACGAGGAGTTTCTTAGCAGCCCAGACAAAAATGCTCGTTAGCCACAAACAAGAATTTCCTGTTTGCCCATTCGTGCACTTGGAGGGTGGGGGGTGGTTATCTGGCCACTACCTGAGCCTTCCTTGCCTTATCTGCCTCCAGCTCACGTGGCTGCATGGGGGGCTGTCCCTCAGAAACCCGCGGGAAGGCCTGGGGGCGGGAGCCGAGGGGGTGATGGGGACACGGGAGACTGGAGGGCAGGGGGCTCCCACTCAGACTGCTGGGAAAACCTCTCTGGCTGCTGAGTGGGGTGACCAGGGGAGGCTTGGCCCTCCCCACTCTGTGCCTCAGTTTCCTTTTCTGTGAGGTGGGTGGTGCAGGTTTGGGGAAGACTGACACTGGGTCAGCCCAGCCTTGGTGATGAGTGGCCCGACACCCTCTATGGCCCTCAGCCCTCGGCCGCAGATGGGCTGAGAGACAGGCTGAGGGGCCTGCGTGGGCGCTGGGCGGGTCCCTGAGACACCAGCGGCTACCGGGGTTGGAGAGGGAGGGCCTCCCGGGCCGGGGAGGGAGGGAGGGAGGGGCTGCCCCACTTCTCAGGTGGAAAACTGGAGGCCTCCAGCCCAGGCTCGCCCATCCACATCCCCCATCCTCGAGGTTCTGCACCCATTTCACAGGTGAACAGACAGACTTGGCCGGGGCCGGGTGGACGCAGGGTGGACCCAGGGTCCCAGGGTAGGAAGTGTCCGGGTGGAGCCGGCCTCCAGCCCCTTCCCCTCCCCCACCCACACCCCAGCGCAGGATGTCGCTCCCCCAAAGCATGAGCCTTGCGGGGCACATAATGGGTTTGGGAAAGGGTAAGCAGCCCCATCCCCGTGGTGCGCTGAGCAATCAAGGGCGTCTGTTAAGCAGCTGCTGTGTGCCCGGTTGTAGACGTGGGGCCGTGGAGGGACCAGGCCAGAGGGACCGCCAGGTCTCCTGGAGGTGGGCCTGTCTCTGCGCGCGGCAGCTTCCAGAAGCAGTAAGATGTCTGCAGGGAGGGTCTGCAGACCCTCAGGGGTGCTTGGTGTCATTACTCTAGGCAGGAATCCCGTGATCGGAGCGCCCCACGTGTGCACAGCCCCCCGGGGAAATCAGGCTGCCGGCTCGGGTAGCGGGGCTGCCCAGGGAGGGGCTTCCGGAGGGTTTTCCCGTCTCTAGCCAGGGGTTGCGGCTGTGGCAGGCTACCCCTCTCTGTGCCTACTGGCCCACCGTGAGCGGGGCAAGGTTTCAGCCTGAGAACCCAGGCAGGACAGAGGCCCGGGCTCCGCACAGGGTGACCTGGAGCCCTGTGAGGACAGACAGCGGGCCCACTGGCCCACAGTGGGGGTCTGGACGCCGTCCCCCATGCCCCCATCCCTCCGGTCTGTCCAGGGCGGGGCGCATCCTGCAGGGGAGCGGAACTTGGGGCCGGAGCCCCATAAAGCTGGGGTGGCCTTTACTGCCCCTTTGTTGCCAGGCTGCAGACTTAAAGCTGCCTCCTTCCCCGGCAGCCGGGGGCCCGGCACATCCCCCTTTATGGCCCCAGACAATACCCTGGCCCCACGGGGGTCTGACCAGGCCCTGCCACAGGTCTGTCCACCCACCATTTGGCCTAGGGGTTAACGGCCCCCCACCAAGCCAGCTGCGCCTGCTGCCAGGTCTCCGTCCTGAGCCTCAGTTTCCCCACCTGGAACCACGGGTGTCACGGTGGCTCTGGGAGCTCAGGGTGAAGCTGTTGCGTTGATGGCGAGGGAAAGCTGAGGCACGGCAGGGCGCGGGGAGCACTGAGGTCTCTTTGAGGGCTGGGTCCCGGGAAGGTTCTGGCAGGGTGGACCCCCCATCCCCGGGCGAGGATATCGTGGGAGATGTTGCTCCTGTCAGGAGGGGCCTGTGGTCACTGAGCCCCACGGGAGTCACCATAACAAGGACCACGGACTGTGGGGGGGCGGCACTGAAAGCAGCAGGAATCTGTCCTCCCGCATTCTGGAGCCAGAGGTCCGAGATCCGGGGGGGCGATCCGGGGGGGTCCCTCCTGTCTCTTCCAGCATCTGGCGTAGCCACATCACTCCACCTCTGCCTGGTCCCTGTGTGGCCTTCCGTGGCCGTGTCTCTCCTCCCATAAGGACACTTGTGGTCAGATGAGGGCCACCCTACCCCAAGTACGACCTCATCTTAGCAGATGACGTCTGCAAAGACCCCAGTAGACAAGGTCGCGTCCGAGGCTTGTGCAGAGGCGAATTTTAGGGCACCTGCCATCTGGGATCCCACTGAAGCTAAGCAGGTCCGGGCTCGTCGAACGACTGTTTATTTAGCAGCTGCTGTGTGGTGACCCCGTCTAGACTCCAGTGACAAACCAGACAAAGCCCCCGCGGATGGGCTGACGGGAGACCGACCCGCATGTAGTCCCGTGTGGCGGGGTGTGTGGGCAGGGGACGGGTGCACGCCCACGGGAAGGTGTACCTGCAGGCCACACGCCCTCAGGCAGGGGGAAGTGCGGGGCCTCCCTGACCACCATAAATCAGCCCAGGAATGCGGCTTGCCCGCCTGCCTGGGGCAGGGCAGAGACAAAGACCCAGCCTGGACCACCCTGGCCTGTGCCGGAGGCCCCACTATGTCTCCGTTCCAGGGTGGGGAAACCCAAGCCCGGAGAGGAGCAGGATGGCTGAGGGGTAGCCAGCCCCAGAGACCCTGCCTCCCCAGGCCCCAGGGTTAGGCACAGGAGCTGGGCATTGGCGTGTTCTTGGGCCCTAATGATGGACTGTGCCAGCCGGCTGATTGGTGGTTTCAAGGCCCCCCTGCAGTCCTGACCCCTCTGGGTCCATTCCCCAGGGCTTAATTTGAAGGTTGCTGTTTGCTCCTGGCCCCGCCCCCCAAACTCCACTCCCCACTTAGCTCTGCCGCCTTCCCCCTGCCTGCCCGTTCCTGGGAGCTGAGGATCAGAACGTCCGGGGGCCCCGTAACCGCCAGTTCAGGGACGGGTGAACCCCAGCAGCCAGTGCCCAGGACAGAGTGGGCCGGGAGGCCCTGACGTTCCCAGGCTCTGGATTCATGCCTGCCTCTGGGCCTCAGTTTCCTCATCTCCAAAATGGAGCCACCTCTCGGGAGCAAAGGCAAGTGTGTGACTCGGGACAGCACCAGGATGCGTCCGCTGTATGGCGATTATCTACCTGGGCGCCGTTTGTCTCGGCCAGACTGTTTCCCCAAGCGACGTGTCCAAGACCCGAGAACGAGGCCTCGCTCGAGTCAGGGTCTCTACAGCTGTGGTTACTTAGGGAGCCCTCGGACGAGGTGGCCCTGGTCCAGCAGGCAGTGTTCTACCGCCGCACGGAGGGAGTGTGCGAAGCAGAGGCATATGCTGGAGGGGCGCCTGGGGCTCCAGAGCGGGGGGGAGCAGCAGGGACCATGGCCTGGAGCTGCCAGGAGGGCTCAGCCCTGACGCACCTGGACCTGGGCTCTGCCCTAAACCTCTGTTCTGAGCTGCCTGGTGTATGGCTTGGTGGCGGCTGCTGCTGGAGACGCACGTGGGGATCCGCGTCCTCATCTGAAAGTGGGGGTGGGCTCCTTAGGCTCCGTGGGGACGCAGCGCCTGTGCCCAGCTCTCACGCTAACTGACCCGTCCTGACCCCACAGCTCTACGAACTGGACGGGGACCCCAAGAGGAAGGAGTTCCTGGATGACTTGTTCAGTTTCATGCAGAAGCGAGGTAAGGCCGCTCACCGAGAGTCCCAGGGAGTGGGGGGTCCCGGGAAGCGGGCCGGCGGGGGGGTGGGGCTGCTTGGCAGTCAGGTCTGATGGGGGAGGTACAGCTGGGAGCATCTAAGGGGTGGGTCCTTGGGTAGGAGGTCTCAGGTCCCCAGCCCAGAATTGCTGGCCCAGACCCGTGGTGTGATGGGGTTCCCGCCCCTTGGGCCCCCCACCACCCCCAGGGTCCCCTGCAGCAGAGCTGGCCTGCAGGGAGCAGGGCTGGATTCCCGGGAGGGCAGCGGGCACTGGAACAGTAGAAGTTCCTTGAGCTGGCTTCCCGGCCCCATGGCCCCTGGTGTGAGGTCCAGTCCCAGCCCCTCCCCTGCGCCTACTGGGGCCTCAGTGCCCCTCTCCGTAAGATGGGCCATAAGCAGCTCGCACCGTGTGGCGGCTCCCCAAACGTGCTGAGCGCTGGGCCGCATTTATCAAGCACCAACAGTGTGCCAGGCCCACCCTCGGCCCACCTGGGTCTGGGGTGAGATGGACGCCATAAATGGCTCAGCCTGGGCATGGGGAGCAGGGACTGGTCTGGGCGGGTGTCCTGGTGGGGAAACCAAGACCCAGACACTGGAGGGCATCTGGGGTGTTCAGGGTAAGCCAAGCCCAGAGAGGACCTGGAGCAGCAGGAAGGGCCCCACAGCCCTACCCGTAGCCTCAGCCTCGGCTCAGGGCTGCCACGGGGCAGAGAGATCCGGCTGGACGGACGGACAGGGGGGTTCTAGAGGTACCCACTGCAGGTGGGGCTGGTCCCTCTGACCAGAGACAGCCGCCCCTCCCCCCCCCCGTGGGAGTTATTATAACTCTTGCTGTTCAGGGAAGGAAACTGAGGCCCAGGGAGGGGATGTGTCCTCTGAGCCCTGGAGGCAGGAAGGGGCGGGGCCCGGCCAGGGTAGTGCAGGGTCCACTTGGGCCCACTGCAGGGGCTGGCCCACGGCTGCTTTGTCCAGGGCCCTCTGCATGCCCCTCCCTCCCCAACAGCCTCTGTAAACACAGGCCCCACAGCCCGGAAGGGAAGGAGATGAAAGGGGAGGGGCCGCCGCCTTCCCATTAACCCCTCCTGTGCCGTGCCCAGGCCGAGGAATCCAGACCCGTCCTGGGGTGGGGGCCCCCTCCTTATCGTTGGGAGCAGTCCCAGCCAGGGCTGGCTGCCCACCGTGTGGTCAGAGAGATCCTCCCCCACTCTCTTTATCGACCCATCCACACCTGCCAGAGCCCCCCCCCCCCCCCCCCCCCCCCCCCCCGGCTGGGGGGCACGGAGCCCCCCATCCTGCCCAAGACTGGGCCTGGTGTCCTGGAGGTTCAGAAAGTAGGGTGAGGTGGGGGGGCCCCAGACACAGCAGTGCAGCCTGTGGGCGCTCAGGGCTCTGAGGGTCTGAGTCCAGCCCTGCCTCTCTCGCCAAGCCAGGTTCCCCTGGAGGGCAGGGGCCAACAAACTCCTGTGCATCCCTCAGAACCCAGCCCCAAGTCCCCCTCCTCCTTGCTGTCTTCTTGGATGCTCGCCGTCTGTAACGGGCAGCCTCTGGGGCTGAGGGTCTGTGGGAGGCCCCCCACCCCCACCCCCGGAGACCGTGTCCTGCATCCCACAAGCCCTTCTTCACTCCAGACGGAAAGTTCTTTTTTTCCCCACGTCACAAAGTAAAGGCCTCTCAGAATTCTCTGGGGGCTGGGAACGCGGGAGGGGTCCTGCCTGCACCCCGCCCTCCTGCTGTTTCCTTGAAGACCTCCCCACCCTTCCTTATCTCCCCCACGGCCCCCACGGCCCCTGTCCTCCACCGGTGCCTCTCTGCTCTCCGCCCTGCTCCTTCTGTAAACATCCGATCAGGCCCGGCTGCAGAGCAGAGCGCGGGCGCGGGGTCCCCAGAGGATCTTTTGTGTGATTCTTTCTGTTCTTTCCCAGTGCAGAACCTATGCCGGTGTCCCGGGTGGGCCGGGGGCTGGGGGAGCCCCTGACACGGGGGGTTGCTTTTTCCTCTCTGCCTCATGGGCTGGAAAATGGAATAGGGGAGGGGTGGGGGGTCTGAGCCGCAGCTCCCTCTGCCCTCTCCGGGTGGTCCTCTGTTGGTGGGGCTTTTGAAACCTGGAGGAAAAGGCAGACGTGGCCCCGGGTGGCAGGAGGTGGTTCTAGAAGCTCTGGCTCGGGGGGGACCAGGAGTCAGGGCCCCGGGGGCGCGGGCCAGCTGGGCCGGGCCTTCTCCGGGAGCCGCAGCCTGGGGCCTCCGTTTGCCCATCTCTGGGGGGGCAGCGGCTGTGGCACGGGCCGGTTTCTTGAGCACCCGCCATGTGCCAGGCCGATCAGAGCCTGGGACTCTGGGTGACAGGGCAGCAGCAGGGGGCCACAGACTGCCCCGGGGTTGCACCCGCAGGGGGAGGTCTGACAGGGGGCTTTTGCACCCCCAGCCAGGAAGGCGCCACACAGGCCGAGCTGAGGGCCCCGGCACGAGGGGGACAGGGACAGCGGCAGCGGCTTGAGGCTCCCCTGCCTGGGCCGGCCCACCGCCCCCCTCTCTAAGCTGCGGTGGCTGAAGGGAGCTCTGCCTCCTCCCGACCGCAAAGCCCCCGGGAAGTGGAAACGGAAGCGGGAAGCGGGAGGGTGCAGGCCTCTGGGAACCGTGCAGCTGTTTGGGCAGCGTGGTGGTGACGCAGCGGGTAGAGCTAACAGGTGAGATCAGCCATGAGCCCGGATCACTGATGGAGAAACAGGCCTCCCTGTGCTCTCTCAAGGGGCGCCCCCCCCCGGCAGTCCTACCCCCCAGGAGACACAGGGCCGCATCAGGATCGTCTGCTGTAGTCACGATGGGGGTGGGGGGCCACCGAGGGGGTGGGGCCAGGGATGCGGCGGCCAGGGACGCGGCTCCGCGTCCCCAGCACCCGGGACGCCCCCCCAGAGAACAACAACTGCCCGGTGTCCCCATGTCAGGAGAGACCCCTCTCTGGACGGGCACGTCAGCCACAGCCACAGACTGTCTGCTGCGTGTGGGGCTCTGGTCCCCCGTGGCAACACCCCCAGCTCACCTGCGCTCCCCGCCCCTCCCCTGCAGGGACGCCCGTGAACCGCATTCCCATCATGGCCAAGCAGGTGCTTGACCTGTTCATGCTGTACGTGCTGGTGACCGAAAAGGGCGGCCTGGTGGAGGTCATCAACAAGAAGCTATGGCGGGAGATCACCAAGGGCCTCAACCTGCCCACGTCCATCACCAGCGCTGCCTTCACCCTGCGGACCCAGTGAGTGCCCGCCGTGGCCCGGGGCAGGGGAGGCGTTCGGGGCGGCCATGGAGGAGCCTGGGGTGCGGTGGCCGCAGACCACAGAGGTGGTCCTCACACCCGCAACATCAGGTGGGGTGTGAGGACTACTTCGGCTCTGGGGTTACCTGCTTGAGTCTGAGGGATCAGCAAGAGGAGCCCTGGGGGCGGGGGATGTGTCCTGGGGCCGGCGCCCAGCCGGGGGGCAGCCGGAGTGCAGGCCGCAGGTCTGAGACCGCAGAATGAAGCTGGGCGGTGGCGGAGGGAGACGCGAGGTGCCATCCTAACCCCGTGCCCCTGCCACAGATACATGAAATACCTGTATCCCTATGAGTGTGAGAAGCGCGGCCTCAGCAGTCCCAACGAGCTCCAGGCCGCCATTGACAGCAACCGGCGGGAGGGCCGGCGCCAGAGCTTTGGGGGCTCTCTCTTTGCCTACTCGCCGGGCGGTGCCCACGGCATGCTGTCCTCACCCAAGCTGCCCGTGCCCTCCCTGGGCCTTGCCACCAGCACCAACGGCAGCTCCATCACCCCCGCTCCCAAGATCAAGAAAGGTGAGGGCCGCACGCGCCTGGGGCCTGACCTCAGCTCCGTGCGGGCCGGGCTCTCTGACCCCGGAGGGGACACGGGGACACCTTTCCCTCTCCAGGTAACAGGACGCTGAACCCCAGCGTTGGCACGGCAGAGGGGCCTCCGTCCGCCGGTGCTATGTCCGCGGCAGACGTCACTAGCTGATGGCCGTTTCCCAGCCCCGTAGGGGGCAGCCGTCGCTAATGGGTGGTCCCGCGCCAACACAGGCGTTAGAGAGCGAGCATGGTCTTCCCAGCCCGTGCCCATGGCAGACATGACTAGTCGACCGCTGTCCTCCCGGCCCGCACGGTGCCCATGTTGCTGACTGAGCCCCGTCGTCTTTCCTGATCCGTGGCTAAGGAATTCCGGTATCATTGGCCCAGGGCTCGGCCTGTGGGGGACAGTGTTCATTGCCCCTAGGTTCTTCCAGTCCCTCGCCCCTGGCAGACATCATTAGCCGATTGCTGTATTCTTTCCCCTGTGAGGGTTCGAATCTTCTCCACACGCCGCCTGGCAGGAGCCACGACCCTGTGGCCTCTCAGGCCGACCCTTCACCCATCGGTGGCTTGGTGCCTTCCTGCTGCGGACTGTGGGGAAAGTTACCCTGTGTCTGTAGGTTCGTAGAAGGGGGGGCCTACCATGCGTCCGTGCCCAGCGGTCAGTGGGCCAAGTTTTCAGGGGTCCGCCAGGGAGGCCCCTGCCCGTGGCCGGGGTCACCAGTCGGTGACAGCCTTCCGTCCTGCGGAGCCACTGAACCCTTCCTAACACAGAAGCGCCAACAGCACACGTGGGCACGCGGCCTCAGGCTGAGTCTCCTGAGTGTCCGTTTCTCCTGCGCCACACGGGCTGTGACCTCCTACCCTCTGGGGTGGCCAGAGGATCCAGGGTGATCCCCACAGCGTAGGCTGGTCGGATCCGAAGCGAATGGGGTCTTCCTAACCCACCGGCTCATTCAGTCCTCTGCGGACCTCAGTTTACCCACCCCACCCCTGGGGAGCTCCGGCGGTGCCCACGAGTGGTTGTCAGCCATCCACGGTGCATGAGGCCCCGCGCTGGAGCTGGGGAGAGGGTGGTGGGTGGGAATGAGCATTTCCTGACGGGAGGGAGCCAGGAGGCGCTCCGTAGCCGTGGGGGGCCCGCGCTGATGGGTCCAGGGGGCATCCGAGTGCAACCGGAGGAGGGGGTCAGAGCGGGGAGCACCGCAAAGCCTCCAGCCAAGGGCCCGGCACAGGCAGGGGAGGCCGCGCCAGGCAGCAAGGGAAGGACACGGGGGGAGCAGTTGGGGGAAGAAGAGACAGCAGGTCACAGTGGGACACATTCCTACCACAGAGGAGGTGAGTGGGTGGGAGCCGGTCCTGGAGCTGAGCTGCTCGGGTTCGAGTCCCAGCTCTGCTTCTGTGGCTCTGTGGCCTCGGCAAAGCCGTTCCCGCCAGGAGCTTGGGCTCCCTCGGCCGTGAAGTGGGGGTGGGAGCGTGGGGCCGATCTGGGGTGGTTGAGACGGCCCCTCGAGCCAGGCCGTGTTGAGTGCGTGAGGACGCATGGGGAGGCCTCGCTGCTCTCGCCAGTATCGGCCGTGACACACTCTGTCTTGGTCTCTCGGGAGAACGCCCGCGGTGAGCACAGCTGTGCCAATGACGGCGTTACGGCCACGGTGGTTTCCAGCGCCGGGCTGACCTCAGAAAGGGTCCTCCAGCACTCCTGTCTGTCCCGGAGCCCGTCCGCTTTCCTGGAGAAGGCGTGCATGCCCCGCGCCTTCCTGCCCCGCGCCTTCCTGCCCCGTGCAGGAAGGCAGGACCAGGCTCCTCCTGTGTCCGTCTGGCCACCAACTCCTCTTCTCTCCCGTCTAGAGGAGGACTCAGCCATCCCTATCACGGTCCCCGGCCGCCTGCCAGTCTCCCTGGCGGGCCACCCCGTGGTGGCAGCCCAGGCGGCGGCCGTGCAGGCGGCGGCAGCCCAAGCAGCCGTGGCCGCACAGGCAGCTGCCCTGGAGCAGCTGCGGGAGAAGCTGGAGTCTGGGGAGCCTCCTGAGAAGAAGATGGCCCTGGTGGCTGACGAGCAGCACCGGCTCATGCAGCGAGCACTGCAACAGAATTTCTTGGCCATGACAGCCCAGCTGCCGATGAGCATTCGTATCAACAGCCAAGGTACCAGCCCAGCACCCAGACCCTCCCTGCTTCCTGCCCGTGTAACAAAATCGGGGCCTCGTAGTCAACATATGTAAAGAGTGCCCACAAATCAATAAGAAAAACAAAGATAAAACGAATTAAATAAACAGGCAGCAGTGACTGGTAGAAAATGCATATGGAAAGCTGAGTTGGAGGTCCACACGCTAACAAGGAGCTACTGTTTTTCAGCCATCAGAGTTTGATGGTATCAGATGTTGGTTGGGTTAGGGGAAAATGTGCCCACCGAGTCCTGCGGTGGGAGTGTAAACAGGTGACAGTTTGGCACTCTCTTTTAAAATAGACAGCATTCTTGCCCTATGACCCAGTGATTCCGCTTGGTATCTCCAGCAAAGCTACAGTGCGGACGCTTCATCAGCACGGGGTGGAGCTAGTCGAGTCCAGACCACTCTGTGGCTGTTCAAAACAACGGGATGATTTGGGGTATGCCGACGTAGCTTAAGACTTACCATCACGAGAAGAGCAAATTTTAGACAAATGCGTTCTTCTCCAACAAATATTTATTGAGCACCTACCGTGTGTGCCGGTGACAGACACAGTCCACAGCTTGGTGGGTGGACAGGAGCAGGTCCTCGCCCACAGGTGCCTGTGACTGCAGCCAGCGGTGTTTCTTCTCCCACAGCCTGTGAGAGCCGCCAGGACTCTGCCGCGAACTTGAGCAGTCCCAACGGCAGCAACAGCATTAGCATGTCCGTGGAGATTAACGGGATCATGTACACAGGTAGGACCTGCCGGGCCCCATGCCGTCCTTGAGCACTCGTCTCCCTGTTCGTAACTCAGGAGCCCCGGGTGCCCCCCGCCCGGCAGGGCGCTGCCCTCAGGAGACCAGAGTGAGGTAGTCCACGTGGCGCACTTAGCACGGTGCTCAGCACATGGCAAGGGCGCCAAAGCACATACTTTGTTCTGTTTCTCCTAAGGCCAGTGGTGTTCCTTCTAAAACACCGTGTGGCCAGCCAGTAGCTGGCATAGGCCACCAGGAGGCGCTGTGGACACCGAGCAGCTTGGTTGCTCAGTGAAGGCGACTCCAAGGGACAGAGAAGGGACCTGTGGCCGCCGTGGGCCAGCAGGTCCCTGGGTGACTTTGCAGGGGGTCTGTACCCAGGGCGTCCCGTGGGCCTGCCATGTAATCTTTTCACCTACATGATGTGTTTCTCCTCCTGTCCTCGCATTAGGAGTGCTGTTTGCTCAGCCACCGGCGCCCGCACCACCCTCAGCTCCCAGCAAAGGCGGTGGCGGCAGCCGGGGAGGTAACAGCGGGACCAGCAGCAGCGCGGGCAGCCAGGCCGGGCCGGCGGGGTTGTCCACGCCTCCCACATCTTCTACCTCAAATAACTCATTGCCTTAACCGCACCACTCCCCACCCGCCACCCCCACCCCAGGAGCCCGCCTGGGCGGGGGGCGGGGTCGAGGTGGGCCACGCAGGGGCCGGGACGGCGGAAGATACGGGTGGGGAGGGGAGGTATCCACGAAGGAGCCACAGCTAACGCCAAAAAGAAAAGAAAAAAATATATACATATATATATATAAAGAAAATTTAATAAAACAGGGGAAAACCAAGGAACACTTGAATTACTCAGGTTCGGACACTCAGAGACGTGAATTGTGAGAGCAGCGAAGGAAATCGGAAGAGAGAGGGGCACGTATTTCCGAGGGCTGCAGCCCTGCTGGACCAACTGACTGGGGTCTGGGGTCTGTGTGGACCGGTTGCCATGAAGGCCGATCCTGTTTACCTCATACATCTCTGCACTGTGTGTTTTCATTTTTTGTCTGTTTTTTTTCCCTTTTTTTTCCCCCATTCATCACACACCACCACACCCAGCTCCTTGTGTTGAATGAAACCCCTGAGCCAAGATCAGCCGAATTTTTTTTTTCTTGTTGCTTTTGGGAACTTTTTTTTTTTTTTTTTTAAGAAACAGTGATACTCAAGATCTATAAGGCTTTTAAGAGGTTTCGGGGTTTTGTTTTGTAAATAATCTATTTTATTCTTGGGGGAGGAATCAAACCTTAGGAAAAGGATATATATATCTATATATTTGTGTTCATTCAGGGAAACTGGACTTGAAAAAGCAAAAAAAAAACCCCACAAAAAAAACAAAAAGAAAAAAATAGAAAAAGAAAAGAAGTAATACCCTTCCTATTTTCCCACGACTGGTTTGGGTTCCTGTGTGTGTTTCCTGTGCTGCAGTGGGTATAGCTGGCAGGCGCAGGACGCGCCCTGGGCCAGAGCCAGGACCGGTGATGAACTCAGGTGCTATGGGTAGGGGGGCATGAATGCTGAGGGGCAGACCGGGGCATCCGGGGTCCTTTTTTCCTCCCGCCAGAGAATGGAAGTCTTAACTAGGGAGGAGGTCGGGCTGGATGAAGGGCCCTGGGCGTGGGAGGGGGCTCCACCTATCGCGGCCCCCAGGCTCCTGTCTCAGGGATGAATGTGGCCTGGGGGTGCTTCTGGGGGGGGGAGGGCTGCTCTGGGAGATTATCAGTACTGGGGGATGGGGTGAGCCGGCCTTAGCTCAGGGTGAGGTTTTTGGGGCCATGGCATCCTGAACAGCCCCCGCTTCCATTCTCTTCTCCTTAACTTTGTCCCTTCCTTCTCTCTCGGCCCCGTTTGCTTGGGGCCACAGCTGCCCGCGGTAACTAAAGTAGCTGGAGGCTGCACCCGTCTCTGCACAACCCTTCCTCCTGGTTAGAAGGTGGGTGTTGGGGGGCTGGACACGGCTGGTGGGAGGTTATTCCAGCGGCTGGCGGTGGTCTTGGTGAGGCAGCACCGTCTGCCCTAAGGCCCAGGCGGGTGGAGGGCTTTCTTGGCGCCCGCTGGGTCCCTGTGGACCAGGTCGTGTTGGGTAGTGCTCCTCACGCTGCCCAGTGGGATTTTTGTTGGGGGGGCGGGGCACTGACTCAGCTGTTCCCAGGGTGAGCCTGCATTCTCTAATTGGGCTCAGGTGCCCGGCCTAACGAGGGGGAGGGCAGCACCAGCCTCCCCCCTTCCCCGATGGACCAGGCATCCTCCCCCTGGGAGACCCGAGGAGGGAGGGTCCTGGGCCCCCAAGGCTGGGTTTTCCTTTGTGTGGGGCTGTGCTGTGTCTTTGGAATATCTCAGGGTCCTTGACACCCCCACCCCCCAGCCTTCCAGGAGCGGGGTCTCCTCTCTGCTTTTCCTTCTGGAAGGTTCTGCCCTTCCGTCTCTCGCGGCAGCAGCACAGTCATGGTGGGAGGGGATCTCTTTGTCCCCAGGCACAAGCCAGCTCCACACACAGAAGCCCCCGCCAGTCCTCTCACCCCAGCCTGACCTGTGGGCGCCCCGGCCGGAGGCCTTCAGGTTCCCTGGTCTTGCCCTCGGGGGGGGGGGGGTGTCTGCAGCATGTTTCTTTCTACCTCAGGCCTGACTCTTAATGCCAAACCCCGTGCCCTGGCTCTCCTCTTGCCCCACCCTCCCCGTGGGGCCCCTCCACCTGGAAGGCCCATTCGTGTGTGTGCACGGCTGTGTGTGCGGACCCGGTGTTGTGTCGCGGGTCGATGTGGCCTCCCGGATGTAACTCAGGGTGTGGCCTGCTGTTCAAGTGATGATTGTAGGGGACAGGTGGGGGCGGGGCATGGGGCCCAGCCCCCCCGCCCCCGCTCTGGGCTAGCCAGGGGGCGGCTGTGCTGGGGGGAGCCCACCTGTGCTGGGAACACGAGCGGGGTCCCCCCCTGCCTCTGCCTTCGGTGCCCCATCCAACCCCCTGCCCCTCCTGTCCCTGGGGCTTAGGGAAGGGGAGGCTTTCCGGGGTGCACATCAGCACCCCCTTATGCAAACCCAGGTGTGGATGGACGGGGGCAACTCTCTCTGCCCTTGGCTTCTGTGCTGGTCATTCCCAAGCGGGCTTTGCTGCATGGCGAGGGCGGAGACCCCAAACTCAGGGTGGAGAGGGGCTCACTGGGGCTCCCCTGTGAGGGGAGAATCTTCCGTGGGACCCCTGAGCTAGGGGCTGGGCATGCAGGGTGGGACGGCGGGTTACTTTCCATAGTTCTGCATTTGTACACTCTCCCATTTTTATCACTTTTTGTCCACTTTGTCCTCCCCTCCTTTAATTTTGCTTTTGCATTTTTTCCCTTGGCAACCATGAATTCAGCCTTTCATTCCTGACATGTGAAATTTCAGTTTCTCTGGTGTTCGTCAGACGGCGTGGATACTGCGCCGGCACTCAGGTTAAAGTGAAAAAACTTTTTAAAAAAAAAAGGTTTAAACGACTCTACCTCTGGCCGGGCCTGGCCTTGTCGCCCTGGCCAGGGCGGCCTATACCGATTTCAGTTTTTGCAGAACATTCAGGTATTAAAAGGGGGAAAAAAAAAAAAAAAAAGACAAAAGACCAAAAAAAAGAAAAAAAAAAACAAAGAAGAAAAAAAAGGTGTGTGATTTTGAAATTTAAAAGAACACTGAAAGTTTACATTTTATAACATTATTATGCAGATTGTATTTAAACTTCAGAAATATTTAAGACAATTGTAACCCTGTAAAGCCGATGAGATATTAAAACAAGACAAAACACTTCTGACTTTTAACAGAAAACGCCTCCTGTGGTGGTTTTTTTGGGTGTGTCTGGGTCCCAGGGGCGGTGGGCCCAGGGTCCGTAACCCCTCCATCCTGCAGCAGGGACGGCGACCAAGGGACAGGCCCTGGGTCTTCAAGTGGGTGTGCGTATGGCCATCACACGTCCGGGGGGCCTTGGTGCAAAGTGTCTGTTTAGGGATTTGGGGAGAACAGAGGTGGCAAAGCCAGGGGTGCCCTAGCCTGTCCCCCAGCCCCTCGGCTAGGCCTCCTGCCTTCTGATGCCACTGTGACTCCGAACCCAAGCCCCTGGGGTATGTGGTCTGCCCCCTGCCCACTCCTCACTGGGCCTTCCTCTGGGTCTTTTCAAGAGCTCTTTCCCACTGCCTGGATCGTCCTTTCCCTGTGTGCCGGGCAAGCCCCTTGTCACCCTCTGTGACACGGAGTCATGTGTGTGCTTCGTCCGTTCCTGTGCCCCCTGGGGTCACCCCCTCAGCTCGGCAGGCTCCATGACCCGACGTGGCAGGAGAGGGGCACCCGAAGAAAGCCCCCCACCCCACCGTCCCACCGGCCCTCTGCAGGCTTCTGAGACAGGGACCCAGCCTGCGTCCCCCAGCAGCCTTCCCACTGGGGTCTGGCTCACCTTTTCACATTTTACGATTCAGTAGGTGTAGCCCCAAAGTGGCCCCCGCCCTTTTATCCAGGAGATAAAGGAAAAATAATTTTAAGAAGGAAAATGGCTCTCGGGCTGCAGTGTGCAACCCCTGGGCTCAGCATATTTGGAAGGGCAATCCTGTGTTCTCTGCCTCCAAACCCAAACCACAGCAGCACTGCAGAATTTGGGCTGGAAGAGATTTTCTGGGGTGTCTAATCCATTTACCCTCGGACCAACCCCCCCCCCACAGAGCGTGTGATGGGCTCAGGGTCAGCTTGGCTGGACCGTGGGCAGGCCCAGCCTCCTGCTGTCTGGCTCCCCTACCACCAGGTCCGGCCCGGGCCAGCCCCGGCCAGTCGCTCCCGCCTGGGTCAGCCCCCAAGGCTGCACTAGGAGTGAGGGAGAATCAGCTGCCCCTGCTGTCGCAGCCAGGGGCTTCCCACGCGCCTCCCGTGGCCCATTTCATCCACGGCATTTCCACTCCTGTCAGAAACGAGTCAGCTGCGTCTTGGTCCCAGCGTCCACGGGCCTTGGGGGACCAGGAGAGGTCAGAGGGCCGGTGGCTCCACCCGCCTCTCGGGGCTCTCTCCTCCCGCCCCAGAAGATAAAGGAAAAATGATTTAAAAAAAGGAGAACGGCCCTTTCTTGCAAACTGGCTCAGCCAGTCCACATCTTCATTCCTCCGCTGAAGAGGCCCAGAGTGGGGGCAGGAGGCCCTGAGGTCACACAGCCCCAGGGGCACCAGGGAGGGTTCAGGCCCCCCCCCCCCGCCCCCACGGCCCTCCCGGCTTCCCAGAGCCCATCAGCTTCTGCCTCCTGGGCTTCGGAGCTTGTGCGGAGGCCCGGCCCGAGGAGGCTCCGGGAGGAAACATTCAAAACCTGATTAGCAGAGCTGAGGGAGCCTGCAAGGAGCCAGGCTTTGGACCCGCGGCCCGAACAAGGAGAGGGTTTTCACCTGAGTCACCCTCCTTCCCTCCTATCGTTGGTGCACATGACGGGGGCTGCCCCCGAAGAAGGAAGGTGGCCCTGGGCTGGGACGCCAGAACGCTGGGGTCTGCTCTGGTTCTTCACTGTGTCCCCACTGCCCGCAAAAAGGTGCTCAATAATGGAAAAAGAATAAACGAAGAATTCAGGGCTTCGACTGGGGGGGTAGGGAATGTGTCTGTGCCTCAGTTTCCCCCATCCTGCTTCTGCTGCTACTGCCACACCCTCCCAGCCTTGGATTTGGGACCAGGCACCCACCCAGCTAGCACCAAGGAGGTCTGGCGACTGGGTGGTCCTGGACGCCCCACACAGCCCCCCAAAGTGTG